ACTATTTACTTAAATCGAAATAAGCCACCCTCTAGGATGGACAACACAAAGGCCTTTTTTTCTTCCTCTATGGGGATGAACTTTCAGACATGTAGTTCTTCATCAATACTGATACATAAAGCCAATATTTTCTGTGCAAGACTTTGTCTTATTCTTATATGTCTGAATTACAGATTGGATATTGCAAATCTGTGTCAGATATGGGGGTTCTGGGACTCGGAGTCTTGTTGGGGCTACAGCTGCTGACAGGGGCGGAGCCTTCCAATTTAAGCAGAGACTCAGCTCTAAGTTAAGCAGGACCCATAAGCTGACTGGGGTGTGTTCAGACTGCACCAGCACAAAAATGAACACCATAAACATCTTTAAAATATTAAAGACAGTCACTTTAAACTGATGAATAATACAGTACAGCGAAAACACACAAATAATCCTCCTTGTTCCCGCTTAGTCCCACCTCAGCTGTAAAACTAATGCACTGCTGTGGTCAGCGCTGATGATCTGGAGGCTGTTCAAATGCTCCCCGTCTCTCTCTAACAACTGAGCCCAGTCTGTCTAGCTCACTGACTCACTGCAAGGTAAGGGCAGGCAGACACACCTCATTTGAAGGGTCAGTCCGAGGGAGAAGAGTTCGCTCGTGTCGAACTTTCACTGGTGCTTTAGTCCAACTCTCGATGCCCTCTCTTGAATCTCTTCAAACACAACACCACAGCAAAGACTGATCTTGAACACGTTCTCAATAGCTGTCAGAACAGTGTCTCGGCAGCGCCGTTAATTAATGTGCACGTCAACACAGAAATTTGCTCTCCTCACCAAACTTGCACAAAGTGTGCGTTCAGCAGAAATGAAGAGAAAAACGTCAGAAAACACTGTTATAATTGGTCGTTCAGGTTTTACTGAACACCACAGTTTTCTTCTGTTACACCAGCTGGCAGCCTATAAGAGGAACTGCTGTTTCAGTGACAGAAGGAGTCAAAAGAGTCTTGACAAAAAGGTCCTTCCCTCATTTCCTAAATGTAAATAAATATTTTAAAAAATGTTTTTCAGAATATTTTCGACGGGTTTCAAAGCAGCCCTTTTAATAAACATAAGCTGCTTTTCTCTGCCTCTTATACAATGCCCGCAGGCCATCTAGACAGATCAGACTGGGTGAACAACATGAAAGTTTTGCAAAACGCAAAACCAGTAACTATAAAAGAGAAGATGACAAATACAGGCTCTTGTGGCTATATGCTTTCCGTTTAGTTTTCATTAAAATAATTACAAATCAACAATAATAAGAATGGAAAGAGATTTCCTTTTTCTGCAGCAGAAAATGTAATCCATTAAAATCTAAGTCAGCCCTCCCATGTCTGATTATGACAGTGAAAGACATAAACAGCTTACTGATTCTCCCATTTCCCCCAGTCTTTCAGGTCTTTCACGCAGGGGTTCTCTAAGAGTCTCTAGATAAGAATATATCCAAACCCCCTCTCTGAGCTGGCTGAGATTTGGAGCTAAAAAATGCTGAAAGAAAAGGGATTTTGGACACTGAAGCCTGATAGAGTCGGAGACAGAGCTCTGAAAATTTCCAGTCTGCTCAGACGTGCTGTTACCCTCGCTGTAGATTCCTGAGTTGTGCTTTCCATTAGTCAGCTACAGAAGTCCATATGGTGCCAGATGGGATTTTCAATCGCTTCAATTTAAGCTTTTTTGGGTGAAATGCTATGCAAAAATAACCCAACAGAAATAAAACAAAAGATATTATTATACATTTTCTCACAACATCATGCTCTAAAGGGCAGCTCAGGTGAATGTCCAACAACATGAAAACTTATACAACTTTTCTGCATTAATACAGACACTAATTATCTTTATGTTCAACACGAGTTTACATTTGCATTATCATACTTTTTTGTGATACTTAACAAAAGCGAATGGTTATAGCTGATCAGCGCTGAATTACTGACAATAATAAAATAAACAGAGATACCCAACCCTCACACCTGAAGAAGGCTCCACGGCTGAAACGTTATGTTATCTTTCTTCTTTTTTTTTCAGCATGGAATAAACCTATTACTTGTTCCAGAGATACCAAAGTCAGCAACGAGACCCCAGTGGCACTACAATTGAACAGCACTAGGGCAAACATGGTTTGTTTCTGTCCCAGAGCTCCAGGCTCAGTGTGCCACAAGCAACCTGTAGTTCTGGTTAGGAGTTTTGATACCTTTGTTTTTTCTCCTCGGTGGAAGTCACGTTACATTTCCAGATTAACAAATGCTGAGCAAGAATTTCCCTTTATTTAAAAAAAAAATCAATTTACCATGTCTTTATTGTAAAGAAGCAGTACCTTATTTCTCATTTCAGAAACTCGTTCAGATATTGGATTTAATATCTAGTTGAGCCATCTTGTAAATCCAGCTTCTTATTTATCAAACTGTCATTTGGACTGTCAGCAGTGAGAAGAACTCTTTGATCATTTCAGACATGTAGCCTACAACTTAGTGTTAAAGGATTATCAGTAATACAATTATAAACTGAGGAATATACAGTATGTATAGAGAGAAAGAGTAAGATCATTGTTAAGGTAAAAAGCAATATGCATTAACTTTTGCCTGAGTGAAAGCTGTAAACAGATTATAGACTATGTCAATAAAAGATTTACAGGCAGGCACATTCAGATTACACGTGTTATTTCCAACAAGAAAGCATAAGCAGAAGTTATTGAGCCTGGCACGAACCTTTCAGAATACCAATTTAGGAGTCCATGTAAGAGTTTTAAGAAGGCTTGTGTATAACGATAGAAGGGTTTCTAGTCTGTATTATGAATACACACTGTAAGAGGTTTTTATACATATCGCTACAGCTTAGGAGCATTCATCTGTGAGGCTAAGGCTTTCTGGTGCACAGTGCCACGCTCCTCTCAGATCATCAAGTACAGTCTGATAGGCGGTAATAAAGAGACCCCTTCGTTTTGTTGAAGCTGTGTTGGAATTTAGTTATGTAGTTTGATATTAATGATAAGCAGCATGGAAATTATGTTTGGGAATAAATAGAACAAGACCCGTCCAACAAAAAATGTAAGGCACTTCAAAAACTGGAACACTGACATACCATTAACTTCAAACTCGGAATTTTACTAAATATTTTGTAAAGGAGACTAAAAGTAACGCAAGAAGACGCTCCCCAAAAAGACGTAAACTAATGCAACTAAAGTGACCATGCTCTTCACGCGTCAGCTCTCGACTGCTCAAAACAAGAAAGGCTTTTTTTTTCTTTCGTGAGACTCCTTTTCAAAGAGGCCAGGCACAACTCGAAACTTTAATTACTCCCCGCACAACAGGGGGCTTCGCAAAGAAACGCCCGAGCACAGAGCCCTGAGAGCAGTTTGCGCCTCTGGTACAGGACCCCGCACTGTCCGGCTCTCTCAGCACAGCCCAGACGTCAACCACAAGGTCCAAAATCAGGAACGGGGCAGGAAACACGATAACGTCTGTACTAAATACGAAATGATTTCCCTTTCTTTTCATATTTAAGAGGAGGAATGCAGAGGAGAAAGAACTCTCAGTCGCAATTCAATGACCAATTTCTTTTCCTTGAACTCGGAATACAGAACATTGTCAGACGATAGCAATATTACACAGCTCTGTATAATTTACAAGACAGACTAGTCACTGAGCCTAACTAGTGTTACAAATCCATTAAGGTAATGGTTTTCATCAGAGGAAGAAAGACAACAGAAGCCCCAAAGCTGCAAATTACAATCCCATTTTCTTTGAAGGTCATCGTTAAAACGTCGTAAACCAGCTGAATACATGAAAGAAGAGATACATTTTTAAAGCCCTGAATATTTATACTAAGGTATACAAACACAAAACGTTTTTGTTTAAGCAGTAGGTAGCGTTGAGGTCATTATTCGCTGATGGTTTAACTTCATGTCAAGCTTGTTATATTATTTATTAGATCTCTCTTTAAGTAAGGCGGGTTTCAATAGGGCTTTTTGGGAAACAAAACTTTCTCGTACAGCAGCGACACAAAAGTATCTCACTTTAGTTACAATGTAACTAGGCTACAGTAAAGTGTATAAGATGCGTCTACCTTGTCAACGAACTTGACTTCCCCACTTAGCGGACTCAAATGTCTTTAATACTCTTTAGAAATCAAATATTAAGTTCGAAAGAGAACGAAAGAGGAGAAAATGTCAAAGCTGTAATTGCTTAATAGACTACTTCAGCTGCATAAATCTGTAAACAGCAGTATTCAATTTTTAAAGTAATGTGTGTCTTTAGAAATTATATGCTCTCTCCATCACTGACATGGGGAGGCTGGGCCTCTGCTCTGATTTCCTTTATTATTATTCCGTATAGAAGTCATTTTATCTGTCCAAAAACGATATTTCAGCTGTTAATTTTGAATATTGGCAACTTTGTTTACATAATAACTAAATAAAGGTAATAACATGCTAGACAGCATGTCGTTCTTATCTATTTGTATGCAGTTATATTCTGCAGTTATACAGTACTTCGACCTGCAGTAATACAAGTTTATTTCAAATGCAAATGTAAAGGCTTTTCTACTGTCAAGTGTCATGGATGGTGTTACATGAATTTCATTTACTTCGTTTAATTGGTGAAGTAGCGGCATCACAAGTCTTGCTCCAACGAAGATGTTAAAGCAGAGATTACTAAATTCTCGAGAAAACGAAACGACAAAAAAAGCAGTAACTCGCAAGCTCTCTCCATCATCGGAGAGTTTTACATTTAAACTGCTGATTTATTCGACTGAGCCGAGAACAACAGTTTTAAAAGTTCAATTTCAGGTTGATGATAACGTGTGTTACATTTCTGCTGTTAGACGTATTGCAACTTAAGCAAAAAGGTGGGTTTCTGAAGGGTAAGTCAAGTGAAAAACAAGTGTCTTAAGTCTTAGAACAAGATATGAACAACTGGTGACTTTTATTCTTAAGAACCGCAATATTTACACGCTTATTCAGAGGCATTAATTAGGATGGTTATTCATCCTACCTGCTTCAGAGACGGAGGAGACGCACATCAGAAGAACCAAGACAGGACCGACAGCCCAGGAACGCTTTAACCGTGATACGTGCATCGCTCCCCGGCTACGCCACTGTGCAATGTCCCGGGGTGTTCTTGCAAGCGGTTCCCCCTTTCACCTCCACAATTAATTTTAAAACTGTAGACTTTGAAGAAAACAGACTTTTCAAATTCGAAATAATATGAGACTGGCCTTTTCTTTTTCTATTATCCTTATGAACGAAGTCAGATTAGCACAAACAACCCCGAAATGAATCCTTGACTTTTCTTCAAAACAAAAAAATAGGCATAAGTAATGGCTTTCTTTATAATTTCCCCGTTAAACAGGCAGTGGTCAAAAACGGTAGCTAAAAAGAAGCATGGATAAAATCAAAACTTTCATTACTGTTCGGAGTAAGAAAGATTCTTCTCTCCATGAAAAAACAAGTTTTGTCAGAGTGACACTTCCATGAAGCTCATGCTTTTTAAAGTCTGGGGGGGAATAAGAACCCGGGTTTCCCTCTCAGTGTTAAAGTTGTCTGAGACGTGTCCACTATAGAGTGCGTCTGTCCGCTCCACCTTGCGAACTGCTATCTTCTTGCCTTCATCCTCTAGCTCTCAGCTCCGCACAACAATACCAAGGTGTAAACACGGGCGCAGGGAAAAGCCTGCGCTCTCTCAGCGAGCGAGCTGAACTCGTCTCCAGACACCGAGCCCCGGACAGCCAATCAGAGCGCTCACAGCCCGAGCAGGAAAGTACAGGGAGCAGGGAGCGAGCGAGTGGAAAACTCGGCGACGGAGCCTCCCGACTGCGGGGAGCTGGAGTTGCGCGCTTGATGATGATGAGCAGGTGGGGAGAAGGAACGCTCTTCTGGCGATGGAACAGCGCCGGGGGAGAGAATGGGGGATCTTCTTGTGCTCCAATACTAATACGTTCATTTCATTACTGCTGCTGCTGCAAGTGCTACTAGTACACGTCCTTAATGTAAATTCCATGTGTATGTTGCAACTTCAGCAGCATCCATTGCTACTGCTACTGGTGTTTCTACCTGGTGTTGATTGTAGACCTGCAGCTCCTGCAACAAGTGCTATTGCAACGGCTAAGCCTTGCTGTTCTATTCCTTCTTTCACGTTACATTATAACTGCTGTTACTCTGTAGGTAATCCTGCGCTCATGCTTCTGCTGGCAGTGGTTATATCGGTTAATGGTTATAGCACGGATGTCTCTGTATTGTCATTACACATTTGTTTAGCATTAGGTAACCGAAAAGACATCTTGACTGTAAAGACAAATGACAAAACAATTTTTAACACGATTTTCTTCTTCAAACTGAACCCTGCTTCCATGGATACTGTGGATGTTACTCTTTCCCTCGCAGATGCAATACTATACATTGTTAGTTAAAATAATTGCTCTCAGACCAAACACTTTGAGCAGTTTTTTATATGTATGTGATATTATTAATATGTGCATGTGAGTCGTTTAGGTGTCAGTCAACTAGGTGGGGTAGGATACAGTTCGGCATCTCAAGGGTTAAACGTTTCTCGGTCCTCGCTTGGTATTTTTTATATTCATTCTATGACTGTTAATACTTCTATTACATAGTCTACTCCCTCTAATACCTTTACAACTGCGACCGAGAAAAAACAGTGACTTCCGGAAAGCAGAATTAAATAAACTGTATTAAGCAGCAAAGGGTAGACAAATCCAAAAAAGCGAGTTAAAGACCAAAATCGTGATCATTTTGAGCCGACAATGGTAAAAATATCAAGTCTCGAGTTCTAATAATGCGGTCTATTGTGTTTAATTAACACCCTTCTTTTCGAAAGTGTTAAAAGATCCTCCAATCTATCACTTAATTCAATTAAACTTTCGCTCAGTCTAGCTAGGCACCAAAACGTCATTATCAAATCTAACTTTAAACATTCAGTCCCATGGCAAAACTATGCAAAGTACTTTTTAAGATTTTCACCGAGGCAGTTGATATCTTTTCCTCATAAATAATTCTCAAAGATATATTTTAAAAGTACACAGTTTAATTCCTTGCTCAGTAAACATGTGGTTTGTATACATTCCGATGTTCAGGAGCCTACATTATTCTGTATCATATGGTAGATATGGAAGCTTTGAGCTATAATGAAACACACATCACGGTGAAGAATACAGCAGTGTGATACTGAGGTCAACAAAAGACCGGTAGATTGGCAATAGCGTCAAAAACAGCCACATCGTTGTTTTGCTTCTTCTCTGCACTAGAGGGCGACAGGTCATACTTTACAGGTTCCTGGAATTTCCTGTGGGCCTGCTCTGCTGATACCCATCGGGTTATAATACACATAAAAGGTAAAAATCACACCCAACCATATTCTAACCACTTTTTGCAGCACAGAGTTCTGGGGGATCAGCAACCTATTTTGGCAAGCAGCGGGCACAAGGCAGGATACACCCTGGATGAGATGCTATCACAGGGTGCACACAGATACCAAACCCACATACCTACAGTACTCTCACCAGGGTAACTTTACAGAAGCCATCTAACCTATCATTATGTCTTTGAACTGTGAGGTAAAAAAAGAGCACTCAGAGGAAACCTATGCCAATGCAAGGAGAACATACAAATTCCACGCAGATAGCAACCCAGGAATTGAACCGAGCAACCCAGCATTGCAAGGCATGTAGCACCAGTGGCACAGTGGCACCACTGCATTACTCTGTCACTCCAAATTACACATATTTACACACATAAGTAATTATTTACTTATTTCAAGAAATTAATATGCAATACACCCCTACCTCTGTTGTGGACGTTACTTAAATAGATCTTGTCTCCAAATTACATCAGCTCAAGTATTGTCCAGTTGATTGACAACCAATACAGATTAAAACTTTGGAGCATTAGCTCTGTATTTTACCTCAGAAAGTTCCTTGGCACATAGTGTAAAAATCCCACATTGTTCCAAACTGCAAGCACCAGTGCTTTACATAAAACTGTGGCTCTTGATTGATAAAATGGAGAAGAAAACACAGAGGTCACAAATGAGTTAATTTACTTGCAGAATAAAATTATAAAGGTAGGCAGGGAAAATGATCGTACTAAGCTAAAATAACCATTCTGTCATTTTTTATTCTCTTGTAAACTGTTGTAACTGAAGACAGCCACATCCTTATCAAATCTGTTGTCATTTCTTCATATAGACACAGGTTTGTCTGTAGCATTGCACTGACACCCCCAGCCTGTGTCTCTGCTCTGCTTTTCAGTACTCAAGCGCTGGTGCTGTGGGAGTTCTCATCATGCTCCCCTGAGTCAGTTCTCAATAATTCATTCACCGCAGGTTTGTAATCGTGATCAATAATTCATGCCATTTAATGTTGTACAAGTGCAATGTGACAGCCTGGTTCTGTCTGGCAGAAGTTCGCTTAAGTCAAGAAGGTGGGAGGTGGAATCCTGACTGACTGACTGTGATACTGGGGAGTCCTTATCTCTGTGCAACATAATTGACCTCCTCCTATTCTCTATGCCCCCCTATGGCCCCACCTATCAGGGATCCAGGGCATGTAGCCCTTCAGCTGTTGTCCAACTAAACTGATCCTCGAGCTGGGATGGACTTTTCTCCAGTGTAATTACAGTATAAAACCCAGCTATTTGGAATATATTGAGAATAATACTTTTGTATACATTTTAGTTTTATATATTGTACATGAATTGAATTTTTAATTTCAGTGCAGATTGTAAATTTGAATTCTCCTCTATAATTGTCTATATTAGTTAAGTAATAAACTGTTAGTCTTGAAACACTGGCATTTAAAATATCATAACGGACCCCTGTATAAAGAGTGGTTAGGTGTACTTATTACCTCAGTAATAAAAGACCTTAAGTGCACTTCAAATATGTATGTAAAAGGCATTGAGTAGCACTGAGTAAGCTGGGTTTCAGTAATGAAGTAGTAATACATTCCTATTCTGAAGTGTTGCCTTAGGTTGTAGAAAGGTCTGCCTCTCACATTTCAGCAGGTGGAAAGCTGTCACTCCCTTCTATTTACTGAAGTGCTTTCAGTCCTGTTGGCCAACTATGCATTCATTGATTTGCAGGAGGTCTAATAAACCAGTTCAGGCCTGAGAAAGGACAGTCAGAAGCAGCAGGCTGACAGAGATGACAGAGATGAGGCTGTCTAAACCAGGATCCCGTTGGATAGGTCACTCATAAAAGCCACTGAGGATACAGCAGCTATAAAGCATTGCTTGGGTTTCAAAGAATTCTTGTGTTTTTAGGCAAAAAGGTATTCATTTATGTACAAAGTATGCACACATACGTACAGGAAAGGTAGGGTTTAAGGTAGATTTATGACCAAGTGGGAGTTTTACATACAGTGTCCCTCGCTGTCCTGACTCCAGAGCAACTGAACAGGGAGAAGTTATGTCTAGTGAGACATGAGAGTTGGAAGTTACAGAAGAGAATATACACTAGAAGTGGAAAAATATACGCTTTTTTTAACGCTTTTTCACAATCAATAAACAGCTGATGTAAGTGACTGATGATGTTGGGTGAAAAGGAGTTTTAAGACATCCTGGGGCCTTAGAAGCTGAGACAAGAGACCTGAGCTTGGAGGGAGGATGCTGGGATATGGCACACCATTGGATGTAGGGAAGGGAGTGTGGAGATGTGGTGGGGTTACAATAGAGCAGGCCACAGACTGTGTGGGAAACTACTGTATGGAACAATGGCAGGAGACAATTGAAGGAAAGAAGAATACCATCTCAATACCAGTATCTACAAGATTATTAAGATTTTGGTGGCTACAATATTCTAAAGGGATGTAGTACTTTTGTGTTGCATTCTGAGAGGTTTTTGGTGATTAAAGATTTAGTAACGATACACTCAAGTCTTCTTAAATATTTATCACAGAGCCCTCAGGTCTCCTTGTGCTAGGGTCGGGTATCAATGAAGGCATCCATCCCCCACACCCCCACCGCATTGACACAGATACCGCTGATGACGGCAGTCATCATTCTTTTTGCATATGTCTATACCACACAGCACGCATTTACTCTCCCTGCAAACATTTCTCGTACACTGCACACACACAGCTCGTCCTAGTTGCTTTGCTTGTGCTCTAAGTCTGCAGGGAGGCCAAACTTATTAGCAAAGAAAAGTCATTACCGAGTCTGACACATTAAAAAAGATGGTTTTCCGTTACAGAAATCCAACTTCAAAAGCTGTAATCACACAGAAATATGATTACTTTTACAATATCATTTAGACAATTAGCATATTTCCTGGAGCACAGATACTTTTCTTAAAACTTATTTTTTTTCCATTTGAAAGCTTTGCTGCCGTTCCCACTGCATTCCTTAAACGTGTCACGGTTTGCACGCGTGAGATGAAAATTTCAACAGAGAAGTCAATTTTTTTGCATAATATCATTTTTTTAATTTGAGAAAATTCCATGATATATAACAAGGATGGAGCGACATGCTCAACCCCTCACTCTGGTTCCCTTTTATAAACACCAACTTGATCTTATTCAGCAGCCAAGAGGCTCAAATATCTGAATGGCACAGACTGGGTTCTCAGCCTTCCAGCTTGTCTCTGTCATTGTCTTGTTTATTATTATTATTGTTGTTGTCATTATTATGGCTCCTATTATTGTTATTAATTGCTTTTGACAGACTAGACTTATGCTGAAGATCATAGTTGCAGCTCCAATTCACTC